TACTCCCCCATTCAGGGGCACTTCTCCGCTTCGTGGGATACTACCCCATTCAGTGGCACTTCTCCGCTTCATGGGATACTACCCCATTCAGTGGAAACTTCTCCGCTTCATGGATACTACCCCATTCAGTGGCACTTCTCCGCTTCATGGGATACTACCCCATTCAGTGGCACTTCTCCGCTTCATGGGATACTACCCCATTCAGTGGCACTTCTCCGCTTCATGGGATACTACCCCATTCAGTGGCGCTTCTCCGCTCCATGGGATACTACCCCATTCAGTGGCACTTCTCCGCTTCATGGGATACTACCCCATTCAGTGGCACTTCTCCGCTTCATGGGATACTACCCCATTCAGTGGCATTTCCCATCCGCTTCATGGGATACTACCCCATTCAGTGGCACTTCTCCGCTTCATGGGATACTACCCCATTCATTGGCGCTTCTCCGCTTCATGGGATACTACCCCATTCAGTGGCACTTCTCTGCTTCATGGGATACTACCCCATTCAGTGGCACTTCTCCGCTCCATGGGATACTACCCCATTCAGTGGCACTTCTCCGCTTCATGAGATATCACCCCATTCCAAGCTATTATCCCTCCATCTCCCCCTAAAAACTTAAATTCACACTTCAAGCTTCGCCTCGAGGTCAAACAGGATAACTTAATCTGTACTAATAACTTAGCCACAACACATTCACAAATATATGTTGACGGAAATGAGACACTTTGACATTCTTTGGGTTATCATAGGAACTTTACCCAGATCAGTGGTGGATTACCTGTGGACCCCAATGGAAATAAGTCACTCTGTCTGACTTTTTTGGGTTATCCTAGGTTCTCTACACATATGCTGCTATGTATGATAATTCTATGTAACTGTATTTGTGTATACCTGAATAAACTTACTTACTTACTTACTAACCCTGATCCACCAGGAGGACTGGTCACAGACCGGGCCGTGGGGGCGTTGATCCCTGAAACACCCTACAGGTATACCTGTACTTAAGATTGAGACACTTACGCAACATAAGTGAATGTGACCTGACCCAACTAGGTTAGAGCACTGGCCACATGACTATCATGCAGGAGGAGCCCCATGTCTATCATGCAGGAGCCACATGTCTATCATGCAGGGGGAGCCACATGTCTGTCATGCAGGGGGAGCCCCATGTCTGTCATGCAGGGGGAGCCCCATGTCTGTCATGCAGGGGCCATGTCTGTCATGCAGGGGGAGCCCCAATGTCTGTCATGCAGGGGGAGCCCCATGTCTGTCATGCAGGGGGAGCCCCATGTCTGTCATGCAGGGGGAGCCCCATGTCTGTCATGCAGGGGGAGCCCCATGTCTGTCATGCAGGAGGAGCCTCATGTCTGTCATGCAGGAGGAGCCCCATGTCTGTCATGCAGCGGGAGCCCCATGTCTATCATGCAGGGGGAGCTACATGTCTATCATGCAGGGGGAGCTACATGTCTATCATGCAGGGGGAGCTACATGTCTATCATGCAGGGGGAGCTACATGTCTATCATGCAGGGGGAGCTACATGTCTATCATGCAGGGGGAGCTACATGTCTATCGTGCAGGGGGAGCTACATGTCTGTCATGCAGGAGGAGCCACATGTCTATCATGCAGGAGGAGCCACATGTCTATCGTGTGTGTGTGTGTGTGTGTGTGTGTGTGTGTGTGTGTGTGTGTGTGTGTGTGTGTGTGTGTGTACTCACCTAGTTATTGCAATGGTGAATTCACAGCTCCTGGCCCCATGTTTGTATGTGTGTACTCACCTAATTGTGGTTGCAGGGGTCGATTCACAGGCCCTGGCCCCATGCATGTTTGTGTGTATAATACCTGTCATTATATATAAGTGTTCATTATACAAGTGTGGACGCACAGTAGTGTATGTTGAGCAATAACCTTGTTGAAGGTTGTGGGAGAGTTGACCTACATGACTGTAGCAGCAGTAAACTGTACAGTCATGGTGAACACTGCACTTATGTGCGCTATTAGTACGCACTTCTGGATCTGGAGTGCTCTAACCTGGATTGTTATCAATCCAGTCGTCCTGGAAGTCATCTTCCAGGACTGATAGACTGAGTACGCACTTCTGGATCTGGAGTGTTCTAACCTGGATTGTTATCAATCCAGTCGTCCTGGAAGTCATCTTCCAGGACTGATAGACTGAGTACGCACTTCTGGATCTGGAGTGCTCTAACCAGGATTGTTATCAATCCAGTCGTCCTGGAAGTCATCTTCCAGGACTGATAGACTGAGTACACACTTCTGGATCTGGAGTGTTCTAACCTGGATTGTTATCAATCCAGTCGTCCTGGAAGTCATCTTCCAGGACTGATAGACTGAGTACGCACTTCTGGATCTGAGTGTTCTAACCTGGATTGTTATACAATCCAGTCGTCCTGGAAGTCATCTTCCAGGACTGATAGACTGATACGCACTATCTGGATCTGGATGTTCTAACCTGGATTGTTATCAATCCAGTCGTCCTGGAAGTCATCTTCCAGGACTGATAGACTGAGTACGCACTTCTGGATCTGGAGTGTTCTAACCTGGATTGTTATCAATCCAGTCGTCCTGGAAGTCATCTTCCAGGACTGATAGACTGATTACATCTTTGTCATTTCTACTGTTCCTTATGTATTTGATAATGTTGGTGAGGTGCTCTTGATTTAGAGAATTGGATCAGTGCTCCAGTTCCCCGAATTAAGCCTGAATGCCTTCCACATCCCCCCCCCCAGCCGCTGTATAATCCTCCGGGTTTAGCGCTTCCCCCTTGATTATAATAATAATTATGTATTTGATAGAAGCCTGCCGTGTAGGCGGAACGTTACACTAATGAAGATACCCAACTTGCTGATATTTGTACAAGGTATACCAGTACATGTACAAGGTATACCAGTACATGTACAAGTATACCATACATGTACAAGGTATACCAGTACATGTACAAGGTATACCAGTACATGTACAAGGTATACCAGTACATGTACAAGGTATACCAGTACATGTACAAGGTATACCAGTACATGTACAAGTATACCAGTACATGTACAAAGGTATACCATTACATTACAAGGTATACCAGTACTGTACAAGGTCACCAGTACATGTACAAGGTATAACCAGTCATGTACAAGGTATACCAGTACATGTACAAGGTATACCATACATGTCAAGGTATACCAGTAAAATGTACAAGGTATACAGACCATAGCTGACATCAGTGACATACTACTATATAGAAAGTCCCTTGTTATGCTGAGCATTTCCCACAAATTAGGTCATTTTTGTCCCAGGATGTGACCCACACCAGTCCACCAACACCCAGGATGTGACCCACACCAGTCCACCAACACCCAGGATGTGACCCACACCAGTCCACTAACACCCAGGATGTGACCCACACCAGTCCACTAACACCCAGGATGTGACCCACACCAGTCCACCAACACCCAGGATGTGACCCACACCAGTCCACTAACACCCAGGATGCCACCCACACCAGTCCACTAACACCCAGGATGCCACCCACACCAGTCCACCAACACCCAGGATGCCACCCACACCAGTCCACCAACACCCAGGATGTGACCCACACCAGTCCACCAACACCCAGGATGTGACCCACACCAGTCCACCAACACCCAGGATGCCACCCACACCAGTCCACTAACACCCAGGATGTGACCCACACCAGTCCACCAACACCCAGGATGTGACCCACACCAGTCCACCAACACCCAGGATGTGACCCACACCAGTCCACCAACACCCAGGATGCGACCCACACAAGTCCACTAACACCCAGGATGTGACCCACACCAGTCCACTAACACCCAGGATGTGACCCACACCAGTCCACTAACACCCAGGATGCCACCCACACCAGTCCACTAACACCCAGGATGCCACCCACACCAGTCCACTAACACCCAGGATGCCACCCACACCAGTCCACTAACACCCAGGATGTGACCCACACCAGTCCACCAACACCCAGGATGCCACCCACACCAGTCCACTAACACCCAGGATGCCACCCACACCAGTCCACCAACACCCAGGATGTGACCCACACCAGTCCACCAACACCCAGGATGTGACCCACACCAGTCCACCAACACCCAGGATGTGACCCCACACCAGTCCACCAACCACCCAGATGCCGACCCACACCAGTCCACTAACACCCAGGATGTGACCCACACCAGTCCATTAACACCCAGGATGTGACCCACACCAGTCCACTAACACCCAGGATGTGACCCACACCAGTCCACTAACACCCAGGATGTGACCCACACCAGTCCACTAACACCCAGGATGTGACCCACACCAGTCCACTAACACCCAGGATGTGACCCACACCAGTCCACTAACACCCAGGATGCCACCCACACCAGTCCACTAACACCCAGGATGCCACCCACACCAGTCCACTAACACCCAGGATGCCACCCTCACCAGTCCAGTAATACCCAGATACCCATTTTACACTGGATAAAGCCACTGGTTGGTGAAACGTCTACAAATAAACATACCCAGATGTTGCAAATGTCTAGGATTACCTCTGAGAGTTTGCACCATCATCTGACATAGACATAACTAAATGAATAACACAATGGTAATGAATAGTTGTCAATGCTTAATAACCCACATGGAGATAGAAACATAGGAAGTTGAAGACTCGGATGAGTCACAGGGATGTTAGGAAGTATTTCTTCAGCCACAGAGTTGTCAGGAAGTGGAATAGTTTGGGAAGCGATGTAGTGGAGGCAAGATCCATACATAGCTTTAAGCAGAGGTATGATAAAGCTCATAGAGCAGGGCAAGAGTGGACCTAGTAGCAACCATTGAAGAGGTGGGCCAGGAGCTGTGATTCAACCCTACAATCACAATTAGATGAGTACAGGGGATCCTCTTCAACAGAAGATAACCCGAGAAGGTGATTGAGATCAGCCAGCCTCCTGTCTTTCTTTATTATTAAGCATATAACTAATTGTATGCCATGCTAGGAAAAAAAATGGTTATAACTGACTATAACTTTTAAAGAGGTGGACTGGTAAGCCAGCGTAAGGCCTCGATCAGATGACCTAAAGCTCCAATGGCGGGTCATCATCGGACTAAGACCCACGTCAGGAAACGGTTGTCCTGTTTGCTAACAAACATTACCTAAACCTAACCAAGCTAGAGGAACTGGAGTTTACCTGGAGAGAGTTCCGGGGGTCAACGCCCCCGCGGCCCGATCTGTGACCAGGCCTCCTGGTGGATCAAAGCCTGATCAACCAGGCTGTTGCTCCTGGCTGCACGCAGACCAACGTACGAGCCACAGCCCGGCTGAAAAATACCCTGGAGTATACCCAGAGGAGGTTTCAGAGGTCAGTGCCCCCATGGCACGGTTCATGACCAGGCCTGGTGGTGGATCAGGGACTGATCAACCAGGTTGTTACTGCTGGCTGCACGTAAACCAACATAGTAACCACAGCCCGCTGGTCAGGTACTGAATTTGTCTGTCCAGGTCCCTCTTGCTTTCCCTGTTCTTTAGACGTAATGTGAAGACAGTTTCATTTTTTAGGTTCATCTCCTGGCTCTTATTATTTCCCTTGCATGTTAATGATAATAATCTTTTCGCAAATACATGATACAACTTATACAGACTATAGCTGATAATCAGTGACATACTACAGTGGACCCCCGGTTAACGATATTTTTTCACTCCAGAAGTATGTTCAGGTGCCAGTACTGACCGAATTTGTTCCCATAAGGAATATTGTGAAGTAGATTAGTCCATTTCAGACCCCCAAACATACACGTACAAACGCACTTACATAAATACACTTGCATAATTGGTCGCATTCGGAGGTGATCGTTATGCGGGGGTTCACTGTACTAGTATATAGAAAGCCCTTTGTTATGCAGAGCATTTCTGGCAAATTAGATTAATTTTGTTCCCAGAAAGTGTCTTAAGGAATTATGCCCTGATGTTTCCACTCGTACTGGGGATTGAACCGGACCTACCTGGAGTTCATTACCTTTGTAAATTGTGAGTTCATTACCTTTGTAAATTGTGAGTTCATTACCTTTGTAAATTGTGAGTTCATTACCTTTGTAAATTGTGAGTTCATTACCTTTGTAAATTGTGAGTTCATTACCTTTGTAAATTGTGAGTTCATTACCTTTGTAAATTGTGAGTTCATTACCTTTGTAAATTGTGAGTTCATTACCTTTGTAAATTGTGAGTTCATTACCTTTGTAAATTGTGAGTTCATTACCTTTGTAAATTGTGAGTTCATTACCTTTGTAAATTGTGAGTTCATTAACCTTTGTAAATTGTGAGTTCATTACCTTTGTAAATTGTGAGTTCATTACCTTTGTAAATTGTGAGTTCATTACCTTTGTAAATTGTGAGTTCATTACCTTTGTAAATTGTGAGTTCATTACCTTTGTAAATTGTGAGTTCATTACCTTTGTAAATTGTGAGTTCATTACCTTTGTAAATTGCGAGTTCATTACCTTTGTAAATTGCGAGTTCATTACCTTTGTAAATTGCGAGTTCATTACCTCTAACTTGCTCAGCTATCAAAACTTTGGAGTCCAGTCCCTGGACCAATTATGTACCTCTGTAATCTTTTGACTACCGCCCACAGGATGGGTATGTGGTGACTACCGCCCACAGGATGGGTATGGGGTGACTACTGCCCACAGGATGGGTATGGGGTGCATAATAAACATATTAAACTAAAAAACTAACCATGTACCTCAGTGTGTGAGCTGAGTACGCTAGCAGCTGAGCTCAAGAAATACCCATGAGCGAGTTCCTCACGTCTCTGAACATCAATGTTGGTCCAGCAATTTTACCTGCAGCTAAAATAAATTATTACTAATATTCACAAATTCCCAAATCCCTAGAATTAATCATTCTGCTGTATCTTTGACATTCCTGGCATGTGGCACTGCAGTCAAGTGGCTACATGACCCTATCTTATCTTGACAGTCTGGTATCAGTTGTACATTACTGCCTTACATTACCAACCTGGAGTTTACCTGGAGAGAGTTCCGGGGGTCAACACCCCCGCGGCCCGGTCTGTGACCAGGCCTCCTGGTGGATTAGAGCCTGATCAACCAGGCTGTTACTGCTGGCTGCACGTAAACCAACGTACGAGCCACAGCCCGTACATGATACAGTACATACATGATACAACTTGTACAGACCATAGCTGACAGCGCTGAAATACTACTGTATAGAAAGCCCCTTGTTATGTTGAATATTTCCCACAAATTAGATCAATTTTGTCCCCAGGATGCGACCCACACCAGTCCACTTAACATCCAGGTACCTACCTACTGCTGGGTGAACAGGGACAGCATGTGTCTTAAGGAAACACTTCCTAATGTTTCCACCACAGATCTCAGTGTTCTTGAAGAACAGCCAGGGGTCTCTTTTTATTCCCCCTTTGTATGCTGGCAAGCAGTTGAACAGTCTTGGGCCCCTGACACTTATTGTGTTGTCTTAGTGTACTCGTGCTGACCCTGCTTTTCTTTGGGGGAATATTTCATCTCCTGCCGAGTCTTTTACAATTTTTAATTTCTTTGCATTATCACAATATCAATATTTTTCTTCCCTGTCCACAGTTGTTTGACCGGGAGACCTGCACATATACCTACCTCCTAGCAGATGCCAAGACCAAGGATGCTGTGCTGGTTGATCCTGTCATTGAGCTGGCTGAGAGAGATGCAAATTTAGTCCAGGAACTGGGGCTCAACTTAAAATACGCCAGTACGTGTATTTCTTGATGGTTTTTTTTTAATTTAAATTACTTAAAGTGATGTTAAGTCATATTACAATCTGAGAATTATATAGAATATATTATTATTTATTCTATTCTATTCTGTTTGATTCGCCGGTAATCCCGGCCCGGGTCTTCCATTTTGGTGACCCGGCATTGGCTCCCCGGGTAAGGAAGTGACATTTATCGTTACTTGCACCTGTGTGGCAGGTCTTCAGCAGGAAGGGGGGGGGTACGTCACCGGCCCTATGGCCAGATGACGTACCAAACGTTAGTGTGCACTAACAGTGGCTGGTGTGCAGTGCAATGGAGGCCCAAAGCAGGCCCTCGCAGCAACTTCAGCGGGGGGGCGGATGACGTGCAAGGACTGGAAGTAAGGTTTCCAAGTCCCTGACAGCTAAGTACACAAGATGTGCTGCCTCATCCTCTCTGGTCTGCCCTACTGGGGTCATTGGGAAGTGTCTACGGCGAAGGGGCATCGTAGCCGGGCAGTCTAACAGGTAGTGCACCAAGGGCTGCGGAACCATTCGATCACAATGGGCACAGAGCTCCTCTCGTGCCCGTTCAACAATCCGCACAGTGGTGGGATACCCTAAGCGTAGGCAGTGGATATGCACCCTCAGTTCCCTGGACTGTGTCCGAATACTTGGAGGGGGCACCCTGTGGGTCGCCCTGACATACCAACAGAGGCTCCGTGAATCCCCAGGGTCAGGGAATGGGCGCCTGGCCGCACCAGCAGCCCACAGCGCAATCTGGCTGAGGCTGATGGAGATCGCAGCACGTGGCTGTGCCTCGAGGGTTGCAGTCCTAGCAGCCTCATCTGCAGCATCATTGCCAGGGATACCCACATGGCTCGGGATCCATGTGGGTATCCCTGCGACCCTGGGCCATGAGAGTCTGCAGGTCTATTATTATTTTTTTTTTTATTCGCCTATTATTATCTATGTATTTAAAAATGTGTATTAAATTTCGATTTTTTGTCATAAAAAATAACAGATTCTATGCAATTTATATTATACACATGTATATAAATTACATATAATCTATTATTTTAAGTATTTTCCAATTTACATTATGTATTTATTCTTGAGGAAGCACTAAACCCACAAGAATTGCACAACATCTGGGATATGGGGAGAATGGAATGATTTGAAGCAGAGGAGGTACTCACATTCTGTGGACAAGCTCTTCAGTAGCCCTGGTCATGGACTGGGCTGTGGGGGGTGTTGACACCCTGAACACCCTCCAGGAATACCTGCCAGGTATACCCTCCAGGTATATATCCTCCAGGTAGCTTTAAGGCTCCCCCTTTGAATGGATACCTGGAGTTTACCTGGAGAGAGTTCCGGGGGTCAACGCCCCCGCGGCCCAGTCTGTGACCAGGCCTCCTGGTGGATCACAGCCTGATCAACCAGGCTGTTACTGCTGGCTGCACGCAAACCAACGTACGAGCCACAGCCCGGCTGATCAGGAACCGACTTTAGGTGCTTGTCCAGTGCCAGCTTGAAGACTGCCAGGGGATATAAATAAAAATTTCTATTTAAATATGGTTGTCATAAAACACTACAAATTTTTTTTTTAAAATATTGGCCACAAATTTACTGAAGTAGTGACGGAAGTGTGCAAGTGCACTTAAGTGCACTTAAGTGTGTATGTATGTACACAGCTAAGTGGGCAGTTAGCAGGTGTAATGTTACCTCTCATTTGTGAGAGTTACTCTTCAATGTGGTCTCTCACACTGGTGAAGGGCTCTTGATCTAGGGAGTTAGACGTAAACTTCGTTAGATCAAACTTCATTACCACATATTCCGAAGACGTTGTGTAACCTCCTTCGGTTTTTGGTGCTTCTCTCTGAATGTGTGTTCTGCATATTAAAGGGTTTTCTGCAAGCATACCTAAATGTCATTCACCTCTGTACATTGTAGCATTGAACATTAAAATGGTATAAAATACCGACAGGTTGTTAGCAAGACACATATGCAACAGTTAGGTATCTTTATTTTGAAACGTTTCGCCTACACAGTAGGCTTCTTCAGTCGGGTACAGAAAAGTTGATAGAAGCAGAAGATACTTGAAGACGATGTAATCAGTCCATCACCTTAAAGTTTGAAACAATATATTGTTTCAAACTTTGGAACATACTCTTCTCCAGACTGAGGGACTGACCACCTCAAAACTTGAAGGGTGATGGACTGATTACATCGTCTTCAAGTATCTTCTGCTTCTATCAACTTTTCTGTACTCGACTGAAGAAGCCTACTGTGTAGGCGAAACGTTTGAAATAAAGATACCTAAACTGTTGCATATGTGTCTACCTAACACATTGTATCATGCTGTAACAAATGTTGACTGCACAATACCGACCACATCATGCTTGATCTAAGACACATTGCATCCCTGTGTCATCTTATTGCTAGTAATGTTATTGCCTACCACTGAAAACTTTAATCATATACAAAATTCTGGCACATAACTTGAGTAGACCAGTCAGAATCTAATATGTCACAGCAGGCATGAGGTTTGTTTACATCATGTCATTACAATTTCTAGGTACTCTTGTCTAGGTGCAAAACTCATAAATCCTTAAGGACCTACAATTAACGTGTCACTGGGTTAATCCCCCTACAAGGGTGATACAAGCCCCGGTCTTCACTGCACTACAGCCCTAAAGTCTTCATAAGCGCATTGGCTTATCTTGTTGGTCAGAATCCCACACTATGGTGTAGCTCTGATCGCACCTACTTCACTAGGTTGCGGGACGTGACTCCTCGATCTTCTCGTACAATAAAGTTCTAAGCAGTCTACTTCACATGTTAGTCACATAGACATTTTGTTTTGCATATTTTCAGACTATACACTGATCGTTTAATTTTACACAGTTTTCTGTAACAATAAAGATACCTTCAAATGTTGAAAAAGATTACATGTACAGTGACCTCACATTGTATCATGCTGAATGAATCTTAATCGTACTTGACAGTGAACACCCACATGCATGCTGACCACATCACTGGCTCTGGACTGCTGAAGAAATTGATTCCTGGTTGTCAGTCTCTCATTGCTAAGGTAATGTATATTTCTACCCACTGAATAACACCTTATACCCAAGGATATACATATACAAACATTACCTCTTGGTCCAAAGCATACCACGGGTGGGGTTAGAACCCGCGGTCAGAGAGTCTCAAAACTCCAGACCGTCACGTTAGCCACTGGGCACCTGTGGTATGGTTTATTTGCAAACATGTCATTACAATTTCGTGAGTCACCTCTTGGTCTATTTGCCAATTAACTCGTAAATCTTAAGAGACCATACAATAAGTGTCAGGGGCCCGAGACTGTTCAACTGCCTCCCAGCACACATAAGGGGGATTACCAACAGACCCCTGGCAGTCTTCAAGCTGGCACTGGACAAGCACCTAAAGTCGGTTCCTGACCAGCCGGGCTGTGGCTCGTATCGTTGGTTTGTGCATGCAGCCAGCAGCAACAGCCTGGTTGATCAGGCTCTGATCCACCAGGAGGCCTGGTCACAGACCGGGCCGCGGGGGCGTTGACCCCCGGAACTCTCTCCAATAAACGGTCCAAGCAGATCTACGTTCACATGTGTAGTGCTACAAAAGTAGATCTACGTTTTTTTTTTTTTGCATATTTTCAGATATAACAAAAAAAAAACAAGTAAATCAGTTTTTTTTTACACATTTTCAGTCCCCAACAAGGAAGGACTTCTTTGACGCTGTAGGCTCTGATCTAGAGAAATTAGGATCTGTGCTCCAGTCCCTGATTAACTGAATGCTTCCATCACCCCATAGTCTGTATAATCCTACGGATTTATGCTTCCCATTGATTATATAATAATATATACACATTTCAAATGTAAAAAACAAAAAGATCACTTTTTTTACATATTTCAAATGTTAAAAAAACGTATATATACATTTGGACCATTTACGGTTAAACAATTTCGATGCTTTATTTTCAATTCATGTATTTTAATGCAATTAGTCTTTTCACGGTATTCTCTATAAACGTCATTTTTTTTTTTCTAAAATGTTTTGTATATAGTAGTTTAATATATCTTCTTGTGCACTCTACCCAACATACTGCTTCACTTGTATAAAGAAATTGCTGGTTTAAGGTTATTGAGGTGTCGTCCTTGGCCTGACAGCATACTAAAGTTTTACATGGAGGCCTTCATTGTATTTTTCCAAGAAGAATTTTATCACTGGGTTAATATTTATAATCATATGCAAAATACAGGGAGCAAGGGGCTAGTAACCCCCCTTTCTGTATGCAATACTAAATTTAAAGAGAGAAACTTTTGTTTTTCTTTTTAGGTCACCCTGCCTTGGTGGGATATGGCCGGTTTGATGAAAAAAAAAATACGAAGTACAAAGTGTGCATGTTATGTATATTGAGTAAATATAAACACACTATTAGCAACACAAGGAAAGATGTCTGAAACCTAAGAGTGCTCATCCTAGCAAGACATTTGTTATATAATGTATTTTAAGTGATTTGCTGTTATTGATTCACATGTGTGTATACTGTAAGGTAAATTAGTTAGAAACGTACAAGAGTAGTAATATTGTTTGAGGTACAAGGTAATGTATTTTAATAGCTTCCCATACTGTTATCGAATAGGCAGTGTTTACAAGTATATTTTTGCTTGCTTAAATGTCAGCAATTTTAATATTTATTGTACTGTTTCAGGCATCCGGGGCTATGGCTGATGTTCATGTTGAACATGGTGATAAAGTATCATTTGGGAATCAAACTTTAGAAGTTCGCAGTACCCCTGGTCATACCAATGGTTGGTAAATATAACTCTTTTAGGGCACTGCTAGTTATTGGTTCTGCTGTTACTTACTGTGTAAAATCTAGCTCTGGTAAGCCAGTGACGAGCATTTGAAACTAGTGTCCAAGATGCTTGTCTTATTTTCCGAAGAATAAAACGCCACATTCCTCATTATATACAGGAGGGCCTCCTCTTATACAGCAGGTTAGGTTCTAGGCTTCTGTAGGGCCCTGCTTAAAGAGCATGTTAGATTCTGGGCTACTGTAGGGCCCTACGTATATAGCAGGTTAGATTCTGGGCTACTGTAGTGCCGCAGTTAAACAGCAGATTAGGTTCCAAGCTGCTGTAAGACCCCACTTATACAGCAGGTTAGGTTCTAGGCTGCTGTAAGACCCCACTTATACAGCAGGTTAGGTTCCAGGCTGCTGTAAGACCCCACTTATACAGCAGTATCAGGTTGTACCCTACGGTTCCAGGCTGCTGTAAGACCCCACTTATACAGCAGGTTAGGTTCCAGGCTGCTGTAAGACCCCACTTATACAGCAGGTTAGCAGTAGCCCAGATTAGGTTCTGAGCTGCTGCTGTAATGTAAAACGTAGCTTTATTTTTCACTTTCAACTGCATGTAAAAGCCTGATAACATATTTACACTATCATGTATTAGGTAAGCAACATAGCTCGGCCTAAACAATGCATACACAGTACATGCATTATTTGCCTTAAAATATTTTTGTCCTTAACTTGTAATGAGTGATTAATATAATTGATTATTGGAATCTTGAATAAATGAAGAATGGATATACAGTGGTACCTTGAGTTACGAGCAACTGGGATCCCAACTCGAACTATTTTTGTAGTGCTTTTGTAAGTGTATTTTTGGGGGTCTGATATGGATTAATCTAATTTTCATTATTCCTTATGGGAACAAATTTCTTCAGTATCGGCACTCGAACAGCCTTCTGGAATGAATTAAGCTTGTATCTCAAGGTACCACTGTAATTGAAAAACTGCTGTATTAGCAAAACGCAATAGAGTATACAGGGGCCCCCTGTATACAGTATAGAGATGTGCTTCATTTTATGTACATTAGTTTATATTCATTTACCGGTATTCCTATAATCCACACCGAACCAATAAGAGTTATCAGGTTTCTTTACCAACACTACAGGTGAGAACCACGGTGATGAACTCTGTTCAAGTTACATCGTTCTTGAGCATAGTACAGTATTACATTCATCCCTTATTACTCTCTTACCCTCTTCTGAAAGTCTCCATTGATGGGTCTGGACAGGTAAACTGTCACCTGTAGTATAATATGCTCAGTCTGGGTCAGGAAGCCTATATCTCCTTCATCAATTGATAACGACTTTGGAAAGTGCCTCGAAGAATTCTTTATTATTTTCCTCTAAGAGCATTTTAAATTATTCAAATTTACATCATTAAATAGTCTTATCCCTTTTACTTTAGTTCGGGGTGGGAGCGGCAGGTGTCATTACCATATCTGGGACTCTATTCGCAGATGACACTACATATGTCTACTCCCATTCAGATGCAGCTGTGCTTGAAAACACTGTAAACAATGAACTGCTAAAGATATATGCTTGGATGATGACCAATAAACTCACTCTCAACGTAGACAAAACATACTTCATGCTGTTTGGCAACAGAGCCTCAAATATTCAACTCAACATGACTGTTAAATGGTTCCCCTATATCAAGACACACGGAGGGCAAATTTCTAAGTCTTCTCCTTGACTGTAATCTTAAATTTCAGTCCCATACCCATCACATAGCCAAGAAAATTTCCAAATCAATAGGAATCCTTTCCAGGATATGCTACTATGTGCCACAAACGACTCTCCTTACCCTGTACCGCTCTCTAATATATCCTTACCTCACCTATGATATCTGTGCCTGGGGCTCAACCACTGCCAACCACCTTAGACCCTTCATAATCCAACAAAAAGCTGCTGTGCAGTTGATAACCAGCTCCTGGACTAGACAGCACACACCACCACTTTTCAAAAGACTTAACTTGCTAAATATACAAGACATACTCTTATTATTGTGCCTGCTACATATACTGAACTTTAAACTCCACTGTAAACCCTCCCCTAAAACTACTCCTCGACAGTTACAACAGAATGCACAGTCACAATACAAGGCATAAGGCACTTTTCAACATCCTTCGAGTCAGTCTCTCACTATGCAAGAATGCTATGCATATAAAAGGCCCGAAGATCTGGAACTCGCTACCGGAACAGGTCAAGGATCCCCAGACAACTTGTAAATTTAAGACTCTGCTAAAAAAAAAAATCATCTTATCTCACAATATTAACCAAATCAATCAAACATCTGCTGACTAGTTGTATCATGTGACCTCCTGGCTTTTAATTCTGCCATTCCATAAAATATTACCACCTGCACAATTCCTTGTAAATTAGATTTTTAACTAAGTATACATAAGATTTATTAAGTCCAAATAAAATTGTAAAACAGGTAACCACTATTCTATGTTTAGTTTTAAGTATAATTACTATGTACTATTCTCCTATCTAGTTTTAATTAGTTACTATTAGTATTAGGATTAGTTTGCCCAAATGCCTCGCATGATGGTGGCTATCTTTGTACTTAGCAAATAAAAATTGTAATTACACATTGTAACATTTACAAGGAAATAAACTTATTATTATTGTTGTTGACCATGGGCAGGTAGCTTAATGGGGTCGGGTTCAAAAATTAAGTCTTTGGGGATAATCTTGGCTGATGTTAACCTTCTACCATTCTTGAATCTTAATGCTTTACTTGTCAGATTTATCACTGGTATTAAGATATTTCTTTTCTCAGAAACCTGGGCTAGATGATGAGGCACTAGGAAGGATTCTTGCTTCCCAGCTAATTGTAGGATCCTTCCTGGCTCTACCTTCCTTCCCATTGAGTCTTTAATAAATTTGAATGTGTTTGATGGACATACAGTGGTAACTTGAGTTTAGAACTGCTCCCAACTTGACCAATTATATAAGTGTATTTTTGTAAGTGCTTTTGTAAGTGTATTTTTGGGGGTCTGAAATGGATTAATCTAATTATATTATTCCTGATGGGAAGAAATTCGTTCAGTAACAGCACTTGAACAGCTGTCTGGAACAAAATAAGTTCGAAACTTGAGGTACCACTGTACTTGGTTATATAATACATGAACTGCACAGTCTGCCTCAAAAGAGTTGACATTAGGTAGCTGCACTTCAAAAAGTGATTTAGATGGGGCCTTGAATAATTTATTGGAGCTCGGTCTCCTTTAGTGACATCACAAGCTAATGGTTAGCAATTAAGGCTAAGATGTAAACACTGAGCTATATACAGTATTCTTTATTTCTACAAATACATTTAAGAAATCTTTATTCTCAGGTTGTTGCACATATGTAAGCCACGATGGTAAGTTTGCTCTCACCGGTGATGCCTTGTTGATACGAGGATGTGGTCGGACGGACTTCCAGGAAGGCTCCGCTGACACTCTCTATGACTCTGTACATTCTCAGATCTTGAGTCTGCCCAATGAATTCTCACTTTATCCTGCTCATGATTATAAAGGTGACTAGCATGCACGTGGAATTTTATCAAGCATCATATAGTAGTGTATTGTATAAGTACTACATACTTGAAATAGTACCACTTTCTAATTACCCAATTACCTTCCTATACAGAACCTCTGTATTGGTGGGGGATATGTTCCAAGGATCTGCCATGGATACCAAATCACTGGATACAGAGGGTTCTACTGTGTACCCAATTACCATCTTGTATATCCAGTTACCTTCGTATATATCCAGTTACTTTCCTATATGCCTGTTTACTCGCTTATCTTCCTATTGACCTTCCAGCACACTTAACCTACCTACCTTTCTAATCATCAACCAATCCAACTAACATATTGCATGAGATGTAATTGTTTTCACATAAATAAGCTACGTTCTGTATTGTAATGAGTTGATATTTCCCTGGCTTCTGCAACAGGTCAAACGGTAACTACTGTGGCCGAGGAGAAAGTGTATAACCCACGTCTCACTAAACCCAGGGAAACATTTGTGGATATTATGAATAATCTTAACCTGGACTACCCCAAAAAAATTGGTAAGGACAAATATACTTTCTGAGCACCTCTGCAACACTCACCATCACTCTGTATGAGTGATAGTGAGTGTTGAATGATTTATATACTTTTCACTTGACTGCAATGAAATGTTTGGAGTCCAGAGCTAAATTTTTAGTTTTTATATTGATTAGAAGAATTTTTGGGTTGGTGAGCTTTAGTAATATTTTAATTAATAAGGAAAAATACACGATTTTTTTTTTAAATTGTAAGGGAAGCCGGGTGTACCTGGAGTATACCTGGAGGGGGTTTTGGGGGTCAATGCCCCTGTGGCCTGGTCTGTGACCAGGCCTTGTGGTGGGTCAGGGCCTGATCAACCAGGCTGTCACTGCTGGCCACACGTAAATCAACATACGAACCACAGCTCGGCTGGTCAGGTACTGACTTCAGGTGCCTGTCCAGCTACTTGAAGACAGCCAGGGGTCTATTGGTATTTCCCCTGGGGGGCAGTTGAACAGTCTTGGGCACCTGACACTTTTATGTTGTCTTGTAGTGTACTTGTGGTGTCCCTGCTTATCATTGGGGGAATGTTGCATCTCCTGCCCAGTCTTTTGCTTTCGTATGGAGTGATTCTCGCATTCAAATTTGGGACTAGCCTGTCTAGGATCTTTGAAGTGTATATTATCATGTATTTTTCTTGCCTACATTCCAGAGTACAAATCAAGGGACTTCAACTGCTCCCAGTAATTTAAGTGCTTTATCATACCTGTGTGCCATGAAAGTTCTCTGTATATTCTCAAGGTCTGCAATTTTGCCTGCCTTGAAAAGGACCATTAGTGTACAGCAATATTCCACCCTAGAGAAAATAAGCAACTTGAAGAGAATCATCATGGGCTTGGCATCCCTAGTTTTGAAGGTTCTCATTATCCATCCTATCATTTTCCTAATAGATATGGTAGATACAGTGTTGCAATCTTTGAAAGTGAGACCCTCTGACATTATCACTCCCAGGTCCTTCACATTAGTTTTTTGCTCTGTTGTGTCATTGGAATTTGTTTTATACTCTTAATAGTTTATTTCCTAGTTTTCCATAGTGGATTAGTTGAAATTTGTCTTCATTTAACTTCATGTTGGTTTTTTATGGTCCATTTAAAGACTTGGTTAATGTCCGCTTGGAGATTGACAGTGTCCTTAATGGAGGACACTGTCATGCAAATTTGGGTGTCATCCGCAAAGGAAGACAGCGCTGTGGCTTACATCTGTCAGGTATTTCATAATTTTATTGCCAAAATGATGAAAACAGAATTATTGTAGAGAAACAGATGGAATTAGAAATAAATTAGAATATGTGGATCAAGTTTGCTTTATTTCACAATGATAAGACTTGTATAAGGTACAAGAGTTGTTGCTTACATTCAGGGTTTATAAAAGTCATACGACAGGATGTCAGCAGAGATCGGCCATTAGTGTTGTTAATGTAGTTAGCATATTCAGTGAAAAATTGGTTTAGGTGTAAATTTAAAAAAAAAAATTGCATATTTCAAAAGTCATTTTTTTATATATACTGTACAGTTATAAAGCGTCAGTTTTTCTTCACAAGTGATTATATTCGTCATTGCTACTTCCAGATGTGTCTCTGCCAGCCAACAAGGTGTGTGGATTATACAATCTGCCAGAAGACTTGGCTGCAAAGCTGAAGGATCAGTAACTGCTGCAGCAAGGATAAGGTAATTTACAAGAGGAAATATTCTTGACTCGGCACAAAACTGACATTGATTTGCAGAGAGAAATTTGCTGTACTTACCCAGGGTTAAGCCATGGCTTTTATCATGTTTACCTGGAGTTTACCTGGAGAGAGTTTCGGGGGTCAACGCCCCCGCGGCCCGGTCTGTGACCAGGCCTCCTGGTGGATCAGCGCCTGATCAACCAGGCTGTTGCTGCTGGCTGCACGCAAACCAACGTACGAGCCACAGCCCGGCTGATCAGGAACTGACTTTAGGTGTAGTACTTAAATTATTATGGCACATTTGTATATAAGTTATCCCATGCTTTATGACCCTTATGAATTTAGTGCTTAGTTATGATTATAATTTATCCCATTAAATGCTCCATGACACATACGGGTTTAGTACTTGCTTTTTATAATAATAAAATTACTGTATTTTGTAGAATTCTTATTTTTGAGTATAAAGAATAGAAGGCAGTAAGTAATGTTATTGAACTTGCTGGAAAATGATCGACTAGTAAGGGTCATACAGCACCTGGGAATTGGGAGGAATTTGGGTTAAATCCAAGGATTGAAAGTAGTTAGAATTCCTTAGATGAAAGGCCCTTCTGCAGTATTCAACCCCCTTGAAGGACAGGTTAAAATGGGTTTATACTATCTGGTGTTTCAGTGACTGGTACAGTAACTCCCAGGAATCAACCACCGTCCTCCACTCGTCAGTGGCTTCTTCAGTCCGTTATCAGTATTGGACTGAAGAAGTCGCTGGCTGTTGAAACATTTCTTCGGTAAAGATTCCCAAGTTTCAATTTTTCATCTTTGTTACGTTAAATTCATGGGATGCGCTAAAGCTGAGTCACACAGTGCCTAGGGAAAGAGGCAGTCAGGTGTGAATCTCATCTAAAGCCTAAATAACAGAAAGGCACAACACCGTGACTGGAACAATACTCGGATAACCCACACGATGTTTTGGTCTGACTTGGCCCATTTACAAGTCACGCCAAATGTCGTCATAAGCTTCTCTCCTATATACTGGTTATTTATGTATTGTTTCAGTCACAGTATTGTGCCCTTTTTTGTTCTGAGTTAATAAACTTTTCATTAGTGGATGAGTGAGGAAAACGTCTGAAATCTAAGAGAGCTCATTCTAACAAGACATTAGTTCAAATGCATTTTAGATTTGCTGTTGTTGATTCCCATGCACATATACTGTAGTAAGGTAAATTTAAGTTAGAGTAGTATAATAGTAATATTGTTTGAGGTGAAAGGTAATGTATTTCTGAAAGAATGATTAATTACCATTTTATAAATCTTGTATAACCGTTGAATTTTAGTTTGCGCTCAAGGTGTATGTATTCCTTACAATTTATATCAAATAAAGGATAAAGAAACTATATTAGTATGTTAGTTTTTCTTATCAAATATCTCAAACAGTAAAAATAACAGTAGATTCATTTAGACATAGTAAAAATGTGATAAAAAAAAGAGGTATATAGCAAGATAAAAATCTATATAATTAGCTGTGGCTTTGTACTACTAACCAATTTGGTATATGACCAGAGTAAGAGTAATTTAGGGAGTAATTTAAACTTTCTCGGGTATCTAAAAGCAGAGTACAGTTCTGTTTCAGTATAAGCTTTTTGATTATGCATTATACTTGTTAATATCAGGGTTGTGGAGTCTGTACATAAAATCAACTCGGATTCCTTTATTTATGGCACCTCCTACTCGCTTCTTTAATTACGTTTTACCTACTCCAGTAACCCAGAATTGCTTCAGACTCCGACTCCACAGCTCTGGTTAATATACACGTTTCCCTCTTAATGGTTATCACACATACTTTGTAATGTCAGGTTCACTGGTTTCCCTGTCTTTATCACGGTTGCAGACATTCATGAGAGCAATTAAGAGAGCCCGGTGGCGTTGACTTTGTGCTCGAAGGTCCTCCACTGTTGCCATTAATTGTGCCATGTTTCGCCGCATCGTCTCTTGATCACTCATCTGCATGAAGCAAAAAGAAAGTGCAGTATTTCAAAATTTAGCAAAAAAAAGTGTTTAAACACACTTGTAATAAGTCAGTACCACAGCTAGATAAATTTAAACCCAAGCCACACATGGCAAACAAAAATATACATATGTATAATATCAAAACTAGCAGCCTGTACAGGAAGGCCCCGCTTATACAGCAGGTTAGGTTCCAGGCTAATGCTGTAAAGTGAGACATAGCCTTTTTTCACTTTCAAATGCATATAAAAGATTGATAACATGTTAACACTATCATATACTATTAAGTGAGCAATAGAACAGTCTAAAGAATACATATACAGTACACTTATCATTTACCTTAAAATATTTTTGTACTTAGCTTAAAGTGTATGGTCAATACATTTATTTTAGGAAGTCTAAATAAATGAAAAATGGATATAACTGAAAAGTGCCGTATTACTGAGATGCTGTAAAGTGAGGTCCTCCTGTATATAAATTGTGCCGAGAAGTAGTGGAGACAGGTGCTGGGTGAAGCTGAGATGTCTCATCCAGTGTAAGTGAGGTGACATGCCAGGCACTGCCATGGTAAGGTCGGGCAACACTGGACATGCTCTGGTTCATTAGGTCATGTTCTGATAGTTTTTCAGAATAATTAGTGATGAGTTTAGCTCAAATGTAGCTTCCTCTGTTTTGTGTGATGTTAACCTGTAAACAGTCCAAGCAGATCTACGTTCACATGTGTAGTGCTACAAAAGTAGATCTGTTTTTATTACGTATTTTCAAATATAACAAAAAAAAAATAGATCAAAGTTTTTTTACACATTTTCAAATGTAAAAAAAACAAAGATTACTTTTTTACATACTTTCAAATGTTGAAAAAACGTATATATACATTTGGACCGTTTACGGGTTAAAGTATGTATATTATTATTATAATCAAAAAGAAGCGCTAAGCCACAAGGACTATACAGAAAGTATGTATAGCTACTGATTGCTTTCCTGTTTTGAAGTTTGAGATGTGCTTCATGTACCACATGAATTATGTCGTCCGTCCTACTGGCAGATCTGTGGTTTTGTGGCAGAGTACCCAAGTCCCTTGATATGTCCTATGTATACACAATTACATCTCCCACATGGTATACTATACACCCCTACTGTGACTTATTAGCAGGGTGGTATGTCCTGGCGATTTCTTTGCTAGTTTTTGTGGTAGGTACAGTGGACCCCCGCTTAACGATCACCTCCAAATGCGACCAATTATGTAAGTGTATTTATGTAAGTGCGTTTGTACGTGTATGTTTGGGGGTCTGAAATGGACTAATCTACTTCACAATATTCCTTATGGGAAAAAATTCGGTCAGTACTGGCACCTGAACATACTACTGGAATGAAAAAAGTTCGTTAACCGGGGGTCCACTGTATTATTACTCCATTGCGAGCTGTATGTAGAATAGGGATGATGAAATTCCTTGTCTTTCCTGTGGTAGAATCAACATGTGATTGATGGTAGTGTAATATTCTCCTGGGATTTGAAAATATATTAAAGGCCTTGGTCTTGCAGATGATGATAATGTGTTTAGGAAATTTAAAAGCCAAAAAGATTCTGTATTTTTATTCTTGGTATTCAGTGCTACAGATATTGAGGGCACTTAGAAACCTGTTATCACCCATTTCTTTGTTCTGAGGTCACGATGAGAGTAGTAGTAAAGATCGTTTTTGTATGAATGTTGGTAGAATTGCCGACAATATGTAAAGTAAAAGGACACAAGTACAACTAATGTGACATTTTATTGTGGCAATGTTTCGCTCTCCAGGAGCTTTGTCAAGCCGTTACAAACAGTACATGGAGACACAGGGTATAGTAGTAGTAACACTAGCACTAGTATTACACCTCACTCTAAGCCTATATATACCCTCTGTCCATGTATTGTTTTTAACAGCTTGGCAAAGCTCCTGGAGAGTGAAACATTGCCACAATAAAATGTCACATTAGTTGTACTTGTGTCCTTTTACTTTACAAGATCATTTTTGTTAGCTTCCTGTAGACTTTGTACTTGAGTGTCAATATCCATGATACGAACATTGAGAATAGGTAGTTACGTATTTTGCTCCTTTTCCAAGGTGAACTGTATAGAGGGTTAGACTTGGTTGAGTTATTCCCCGAAACTACAAAAGTTGAAACTTCTGGGTACTTCGACCAAAACAATATTGATGTATCCTAACTATGCAGTATGGCAGGGAATGATAGTGTAAAACCGGTCTCTCCAGACGCTCAAGGTAGATACCGACGAGTAATGCACTGAGAGAACCCATGGCCATCCTCACAAGAAAACAGGTTGAAAGTCATACACTGTTCAGCTAGACTGATGACATCTTGTGTGGGTATGGGAAGTTCAATGCCAGTGAGGGTGGTGTTGCAGAGGAAATTACTCGGTCAATGGAGATTTGATAAAATGAAGGCGATGCTCAGGCTGGTGAGCTTCACGTTCTTGATGGTGTTGGTGTTCAGATGTGTGAAATCAGCATTTTGAGGTGCAAGGAGCCGATTGTGCTTAGGTTTAAGAGATTTTGGCCAGAAAACTTGATAATATGCAGAGAGCACTGCCAATACCAGGTGATGGAGCATAATGGTATACACCTACCATCCGACTTACGACCGAGTTCGGCTCCGAGAAACCGGTCGTAAGTCGAAATGGTCGTAAGTCGAACTTTACTACTGAATATCAACATCACATTTTTGTAATGACTATTTTATTGTTTTATTTTGGTATTTCATGTTTTACTTTACTTTTTATGCTGTTAGTACTGTATTTTATACTGTAAGGTTTAGGATAAACACTGTGTACAACACAAACACATGTTTATTTCCCAGAAATTTGGCATAAAAAACACGGTCGTAAGTCGAGTGGTCGTAAGTCGAGCAGGTCATAAGTCGGATGGTAGGTGTATTTGGTTTGTGGGTTTTGGGTAACCCAAAGATGTCTGCAGCTCCGGAATTGGAAGGCAGACAGTAACAAACCTACTTTCCTGGTGATGAGGAATGTTTTGTCATCTTTTTGAAGACTGTTCCCTGGTAGTCTTGTAGGTCGTGTTCCCTGGTAGTCTTGTAGGTCGTGTTCCCTGGTAGTCTTGTAGGTCGTGTTCCCTGGTAGTCTTGTAGGTCGTGTTCCCTGGTAGTCGTGTAGGTCGTGTTCCCTGGTAGTCGTGTAGGTCGTGTTCCCTGGTAGTCCTGTAGGTCGTGTTCCCTGGTAGTCCTGTAGGTCGTGTTCCCTGGTAGTCCTGTAGGTCGTGTTCCCTGGTAGTCCTGTAGGTCGTTTCCCTGGTAGTCCTGTAGGTCGTGTTCCCTGGTAGTCCTGTAGGTCGTGTTCCCTGGTAGTCCTGTAGGTCGTGTTCCCTGGTAGTCCTGTAGGTCGTGTTCCCTGGTAGTCCTGTAGGTCGTGTTCCCTGGTAGTCCTGTAGGTCGTGTTCCCTGGTAGTCCTGTAGGTCGTGTTCCCTGGTAGTCCTGTAGGTCGTGTTCCCTGGTAGTCCTGTAGGTCGTGTTCCCTGGTAGTCCTGTAGGTCGTGTTCCCTGGTAGTCCTGTAGGTCGTGTTCCCTGGTAGTCCTGTAGGTCGTGTTCCCTGGTAGTCCTGTAGGTCGTGTTCCCTGGTAGTCCTGTAGGTCGTGTTCCCTGGTAGTCCTGTAGGTCGTGTTCCCTGGTAGTCCTGTAGGTCGTGTTCCCTGGTAGTCCTGTAGGTCGTGTTCCCTGGTAGTCCTGTAGTCGTGTTCCCTGGTAGTCCTGTAGGTCGTGTTCCCTGGTAGTCCTGTAGGTCGTGTTCCCTGGTAGTCCTGTAGGTCGTGTTCCCTGGTAGTCCTGTAGGTCGTGTTCCCTGGTAGTCCTGTAGGTCGTGTTCCCTGGTAGTCCTGTAGGTCGTGTTCCCTGGTAGTCCTGTAGGTCGTGTTCCCTGGTAGTCCTGTAGGTCGTGTTCCCTGGTAGTCCTGTAGGTCGTGTTCCCTGGTAGTCCTGTAGGTCGTGTTCCCTGGTAGTCCTGTAGGTCGTGTTCCCTGGTAGTCTTTTAGTTATCAGGATCTCAAGCAAGTCCCGCCTCTTCTCTTGATAATTGCTGCTATGTATCACCACTTCAGCAGCAGCAGTATATCATGAAGATACAGGATTTGCTTGGGAAGCTGACAATTAAGAGACTACAATGGAACAAAATCTTCAAGAAGACACTAAAATCTTCCAGACCTCAACAGATACTCAAGGATATCACAGGGATATCCTAGAGAGTATCCAATCACAGACCAACATGCATCAATGAGTTGCTCAAAACCTGCAAACAAAATATACCATTATGCCGCTCCACTTCCTGGAATTGTCAGTCCTCTTCACATTATTAGCTCTGATAGGCCAAGCATCTCTTGAACTCAGGCACAATTAGTTCATTACACCTGAAACACTCAGGTGATCTCACATGTCTGGACACCATCAAGAATGAAAAAAAAAAAAAAAAGGCCAGCCTGGATGTCACCTCACTACCTTATTTACTGAAGCCTCCACTGCGCACATAATCACCTACCTCGGCAACACTTCTTCAGTGGTGGTGAACTCTCCATACCCATGCAGGATTTAATTACTCTTACTGAACTGTGAGTATGTGTTTTGTCACATGAAGACAGGTTCTACAAGCAGAAATCTGAGATGGCCATGGGCTCTCTTCCCAGCACATGACTGGCCAACTTCTACCTTGAATATGTGAAGATCTCTTCAACAAAATTCCTCACCACATTACATGATTAACAAGTGTCAAAAATATCTTGGTGATAGTACCCAGACATTTCAACTTCCATAATTTCAGGAACAACTCAACAAAGCGAGATCCTCTCTATAGTCCACCTTGGAAGAGTACCAGAATGACTGACCCTATTCTGTTCTTAGGGATAATGACACCAAGTACAAAGTCTACATGATGCTAACAAATGTAAACAGTCTTCTCCATTACTAATCTAATGACCTCAGAACAGAGGTGATAATTA